GCCCTTTCTCCCACAGAGGAGGTGGCTTTGGAACAGGTTTTCCCCATGAATCATAACGACTCTGGGTCAGAGCCCAGCCCACTTCCTTCCCCGGGGCCGCTTCCTCATTTGTCCAACAAGGAGCCCCTATCTCTCAGAAGCTGGGGGTGTCCCCGGAGTGGCGAGGCGGGCGACAGGGACCCCTGGTGGAAGATCCTGATGCTTGGCGGACACTGCCCAGTTCCAGCCAAAGCTACTGGGCTGAGCTTCATGCCTGGAATCCCATCCTCATTGACACTTGCTTTGAGCCAAGAACGGTCGCATTTTGTGTCCTTTTCCTTTGTATTCGTTTACATTCTTCCAGGCAGAGGGAGAGGAGAACCCCAGGTTGCATTTTGGGGTGCAGGAAGAAGATCACAAAGTGGGGTTAAGGAGTAAAGAATAACTAGAAGAGGAGACCAAAGATTCCCCCAGGATTCAAACTTGAAGGCTGTGCGAAGTTTATAGTCACTTATTTTTACTTTTATTTTTTTTTTTGTTTTTTCTTTTTGTTCTTTGCTTGTTTGTTTTGAGACAGGGTCTCTCTTAAGTATTCTTTGCGGGCCTGGAACTCCCTCTGTAGACCAGGCTAGCCTTGGACTCATAGAGATCCACCTGCTTCTGCCTCCCGAGTGCTGGGATTAAAGGCATGCGCCACCGCCGTCTGGCGAGAAGTTTGTATTTAAAGGCGCTGGGGGCTAGGCCTGGTCCTAGGCAGGGAGGGGAGGACAGACGGTGGAGAGGCGGAGGTGGACAGGAGCGGAGCTGCCTGGTCCAGGCTGGGCTGTAGGAACACGGAAGCTTAAGCTTAGGAGGCCACAGGCGTGCCTGCTGCAGGCAGAGGCCGACCAAGGTCGGGTGTTTGGGCCCGAGGCAGCAGAGAGGGCTCTGAGGGTCCAGACGGGAACGAATCAGGGGTGGGGTGGGGGTGGGGCGGGGTGGGGTGGGGGTGGGGCTGGGTGGGCTTGTGCCTGGAGGCTTGTTTGTTGGCCTCTGCTGCCTCCTGCTGGCTCAGCCTGGAACTGCGTGGGAGCTGCGAGGCTCCGGGCTCCAAGACCGGCTGCTTTTCACACTCCTCCCTTTCTTTAAAAAATTACACATATTTATTATTATGTGTATGTCGAAGCTCAGAGGGTGGCTGGTGGGAGTCAGTCCCCTCCTTCCAATGTGTGGGTACCGGGGATCGATACTCACTTGGTTGGCAGCAAGCCCCGTACCCACTGAGCCATCTTGCCGGCCTACGAATATTTAAGCACAAATATCTTAGTGGTCAGAATATTTGTTTCACTGCTTCCCCTCCCGGCATTGTCCCCTCTGTGGTATTGTCCCCACGGATCGATCGTCCAGGAGTCTCTGGGAGGTCAGCTCCTCAAGGGATAGGTCTCTGTTTTGATTATAGACATCTCCTGAGACCTAAAACAGTGATGTATCCAGTAGGTGCTTAATAAACACTTGTGGAATTAATGCATGGTTGCTTCCCCCTCGTTCTCTCTAACCCTCCTTATTCAATCCACAACCAGCCCCTGCCCAGGCTGCCCTCTGCATGCCTGTCGAATCTCGTGGCTGGCCCCTAGCCTCCTCCTCGCTCTGGTCCAGTGGCTGCTCAAATGAATGAAGTCTGGGAAAAATAAATCAAGCAAAAAAAAAAAAAAAAAAGCTTAGACATTTCTGTCAGAAGGTCTAGATCAGGGTTCGATTCCCAAGATGATCTCTTTATACCGCGCTCCCGGGCTCCGTCTTCTTCTGCCCAGTCTGCACCCAGAACTGGACTCTGTACCATGTGACTTGCTTCAGCCAATGAAAAGTGAGTGGAAGCCACACTTCCAGCTCAGAGTTTCTAAGTCACTGTGTGCACGCTCCTTACTTTTTCCTGTTGCAATGACTAACACTGTTAGCCTGGTTTCTGAAGTTGTCCACATGAAGCCAAGTTCTCCTGACCCTTGTCACACCTGTCTACCTGAGACAAACTTGTGGGAAGGGAAAATAATAAAGCTTACAAGCTTTTCAAGCTGGGGACAGCAGCAGGCCAATTGTTACCGCTGCAAAATCCAGCTCATCCTGTCCGCTACATCACCTTTCCCTTTTCTGTCAACCGAATGCTGTCTTGAGACAGTCACATCACCTCTCAAGCCTCAGTGTCTCCGGTCACAATGTGGCAATGGTAATAGACCCAGCCTCCTAAGACTTCTGAAAATCTGAGGTCAGAGGTCACACCCCACCCCCAAAATATAGATGCAGGATTTTGTCACTGGTTCTGTTGATTTTTAAATTGATTTTTTTTTTTTTTTTTGGATTTTTCGAGACAGGGTTTCTCTGTGTAGCTTTGCGCCTTTCCTGGAGCTCACTTGGTAGCCCAGGCTGGCCTCGAACTCACAAAGATCCGCCTGGCTCTGCCTCCCGAGTGCTGGGATTAAAGGCGTGCGCCACCACGCCCGGCTCTTAAATTGATTTTAAAGACTGATTTTTATGTGTAGGTGTGTTCCTCTGTGAGGGTTTGTGCACATGGGTGTAGGAGCTGAGGAGGCCAGAAGAGGGTGCTGTATCCCCTGGAGCTGGAGTCACAGGCAGTTGTGAGCTGCCCAGTGTAGGTGCTGAGAATTGAACTCTGTTCCTCTGCAAGAGTAGCAAACATACTTAACTACCAAACCATCCCTCCAGTCCCGGGGAGCTTCAAATTTTGTCACATTTGGTATGGGACTTTTGCATATGAATGGGGAGATTACAACTCTGTCAGTAATGAGGCCAGAGAGGTGTGTGCTGGTACAAGTCTGTTATATTAGCATTGGGGAAGTGGGGACAGGAGGGTCCCGAGTTTAAGGTCATTCTCAGGTATGAATCAGGTATATTTAAGGCCAGCCTGGGCTACATAAAACCCTGTCTCAAATCAGGGGAGGGGACTATGAGATGACCAGGTGTAGTGCACATTATATTGGTAAGTCATCACGTGCTTTTTGAGCTCGCTGAGGAACTACCGCTGGAGGCTGGCGGCCCTGCCTCACATTTCAGACCCAAGCATGTTGTCTCCAAGTGTCTCCCCAAGGCTACTTGTCTAGGGGAAGGGCTACCCCTCACAACTCTGTGACAGAGAGGAAAAAGAACAGCAAAAATAGCCTAAGAGTAAAAATATCATGTCCTTGAGAACAGCGAGAAGGCAAACTGTTTCCAAGGCGTTAACATTCTTATTTATTTATTTATTTTTATTGTCTGAATGTGCCTGTGACTTCACGAGTTACAGGCCAGTGTGAGTTGCCTGACTTAGATGCTGGGAATCGAACTCAGGTCCTCTGGAAAAGAAGTGTGTGCTCTTCAGTTCTGAGCCATCTCTCCAGCCCCAGGGCGCTATGGCTTATCTCCTGATATAAAAGTGCCTGCATGGGGAAAGAAAAGCCAAGAGCTCAGCCGTGGAGAGAAGGTGAGTCCCAGCTGCCTGGTGCCTGGTGTCCCCTGTGGGACAGTGTGAGCATCTGATTTGATGATGTTCTACCAGCTACATCTAGCTTGCTATTTATTCAATTACTTTGCCTTGATATATACTTAATAAACTTACTCATTCAAAGAGGAAAATATGGCTACTGTAGTTCATTTTCCAGACTGCGCCCTGGAAGTGGAATGGTTAGGCTCAAGACCTTACCTAGAAAAATGCTGCTTGGAGGTGGGGTTGGACGTGTATTTAAAAGAGCTGGGATGCTAGGTGGTGGCGGCACATGGCTTTAATCCTAGTACTCAAGAGACAGAGGCAGGTGGATCTCTGTGAGTTCAAGGCCAGTCTGGTCTACAGAGTGAGTTCCAGGA